TTGAAAGTTCGGAAACGCATCTTACAGTCAGATAATGACATCTCAGTCTGTTTTTTTATAGCTAGCTTCTTAATCTGACCACAGTGTTCTCTAGGAAATTTATAAAAAATATTGTATACTTTAATTTTGCATACTATTTTAGAGACCCCTGATAGGCCTATCAGAGGGTAGGCCTAGGGCTCGATCTTCTATTACGCTATCCGATCACGTGGCCGCGTAGCTTCCCATTTTTGTAGCTCGATATTTATCAGATTTCCCATTTGAAATTCTTATCTGAAAACCATTAGTTAGACACATTTTCGAAGGACATGACATTCTGCATTAATAATGTCGCATCTGTTTTAATTTCTACCCTTTCGAGAGGAGAAGTGTATGTTTTGTGTATGTTCGAAAAATAGGCCTATTGGCGAATAAACCATTAGGCTACGTAATATTGCATCAACCTTGGCCCTTTTACCCTTATCGAAATAGATTTTGGCAAATATTCACAACTTAAGTATCTTGCGTTTCTAAAAATATTTTTAATGTTTGGTTTTGGCAGACAGGATATCATTTTAAAAAAAATTCTCTTAAGTACACTTTCCCCATACATTTCGTGTGCTACAGAAAGTTTCTTACTTTTTAACAGCGTCAAAATGGTAATGGCTTGAAAATTGTCGAAGAAGAAATATCAGGTAGAGGTCAAGAAAACAAAAGTCACCTCAGGTGCGCAAACGAGAGCAAAAACAAACTAACTGCATGTCCACTATCGAAATCCTTCCACTCTCCGAAACTGAGGAATATCCGTGAAAGAAACAACATTTTCGGTTCCACAAAATAGAATCCCATGCACATTAATTTAAGGTGATAAGCCCTATGTTATAAACGTCTTAACCTTGTTGTCTCTGCACCCCCCCCCCCTCCCCCATCCTTGACGTGTCTCACGCGACCACGTGACCAACGTGTAGAGTATATGAACCCAGAGATGGGAAAACGGGAGCCACGGTGTCCAGAAGAAGTAGGAGTACCAGCTAGAGCCAAAGATGGAATCCAGTAACAGACTACGTCTGGCCATCTGTGCCATATGGGTATGTGAAATTTTTTTTTTTTTTCTGCAATTTCTAGGGGAAGCTATGCACCAGTGTCTAATGCACAGCTACCGAAAAAATCAAAACATTGTTTTTGTCAGCCTTGTTTTAAAAACTCATCACAGAAAACTTTAAAAAAATAAAAAAAAAAGAAAAAAAAATCAAAACGAGAAACTATTAATTTATGTAGACTTAAACATTTATCAGTTAATTTTACGTCTATTTGTTTTGTAGATTGCGTTCGCAGCATGCCAAGAAGATGGAGGTAAGATAAACAGTTGTTCTTATTAACCCATTTACGGTGGTCAAAGTTATTCTTCCTCTTAGCAATGTTATCGACAGTAACCGTTAAGCAACAGTTCCAATTTCAACATTGAAAAACTGAATTCTGTTACACTAACTTGTGCAAGAGCTTACACTGGCTGATGCATACCGACAGTGACCAGTTCGCAAAATAACCTTGATCTTAACTTTAAGACCGAAAGTTTTATTTTCTTCAATTCACAATAATTGTTAAGCTACTAATCCATTATGGAGTGTCTATTGGTCTAAGGTATTAACCATATCACTTTTAGCAGACTTAAGGTTTGATCTATGTGTGGGCCAACTTCTTGTCTAAATGATTTTGCAATGCCGTTCAAAGTGTCACCGTTAATGGATCTAAAAAACATATAAAACGATTGTGCAATACCACACAATGCAAACAAATGTACAAAAACTTGATTGATATTTTGAACAAATTTAAGAAAATCGCCATATGTCAAAACACAAGTATTTGTATGGCTCTCTAACCAGCACTAACGGCTAACTGTATTTCGATCTGATAACTTGAAAATTCACCAACAAATATATCTAAGTTTAAAACATACTGGAATACGTGACGAGGCGTATTTCAAAGCCTTGGAAACCTGTCAGGAAATGTCCTGGATCCGCCATGTGTGAGATACGTTTATGTACCGTCCTAATATTATGTATGTGTACATTTACCGTCCTAATATTATGTATGTGTACATGTATTCCATCTACCATAAGACGATTAGATGCGTTTATAACGACAGAAAATACAGTAGAGGGAGTGTGATAATTATAGGGTCGATAAACGATTTTTGATGGAATATAGTGACTAGCCTAATCCCTTGGTCGCCTGGGTAGGCACTCCCCCTTAGAGTACTTATGTAAACAAACGGTCTCCCGTTGCGAACTATCCTTTTGTTCAACAGCTTTGCGCGTGCAGCGGATTGTATTTGTAGTGACACTATATAGCTAACTGCACTTGAATCTGTAAAAGCTGTTATTTGATTCATTCTGTTGTGTCGGACGTTGTGGACCAGCCCAATAAATTTACTCTGTGACATGAATTAATTAATAAAACACACCTGTTGAAAAGGGGGCTTTTCGTAACTAATACAAAAAATTTATTATAGTGTTTTTTATGACATTTGCTTTACATATTTGATAGTGAAACACTCCTCGGCTTTAATGAATAACCTTACGTTAACTATGTCTTCCCATCCCATGCCTCCCGAAAAACTGTTTCTTTTAATTTCGAAATGAATTGTTTTTAAGACAAAGAAGTTCATTAACCCTTTTACGACTCAGTCTAGAGGGACTTCAAGTGGAGGGTTCAGTGACGGTGTTTCCTCAGATGAGAGCAGCATCACGCCCTAGGTCTAAGCAAGTTGAATAGAAGCTTTTTGTCCAAGCATCCTATCCCAAACTACTGAGTTAGAACAAAGGTCTATTTACACGTACTGTGCAATTACAATTAATAGATCAGTTGCATGCTTGATTGTTTCCCCCCCCAGGTATTGCATGTATGCTTTCTAACTTGAGTGATATAAAACAAGTCGCTAGTGTACACTGTTTGTAACTGTAGCAAAATATGTTCGACATGGCGTTTCTGCACGGCAGCCGGAGACACAGTAATTGTATGGGCATGGTTTAAGCTTGTTCGAGAGATAAGTCGCATTTAACAATAGATAGCGAGCTATGGTAAGACCCCCTCCTCTTTAACTGATGATTTACACTGTAAATTGACCGTACTCTCATGTATTGTGTGATTACAATGTCATAGCCCCCCCNCATATGTTCCCAGAAATAATTAAAGAAGTACCCACGACTATAACCCAATACGGCTTTTCTTCGCGTAGATCATTGTAAGTGTAGCAATTGAGGATAGTCTAAGCAATTAAAAAATACTTGAACGAGCACCTGTGCTTCTTTTAGGAATTATTTTAGTTGAAGAATATAGGGGCAAAACGCTATAGGCATTATGCCCCAAAGTGTCACTTTGTATATATTTGTAAAATTCGGCGGGAAAGGTGATACATATTCTGACTCTATCGACATTTGTGTCGAGTTCTGATATCGTTCTATCTGCCACCAACAAAGTTTTTTTAATTCGTGCATTTGGTAGGTAGTGTCACTGATGTTAAGGAAAAGTCTTAATATCTGTAAACAAGACAAAAACAAACAAATTATTGTAAAAAGCTTACCTTATTAGTGTGTGGTCATCTGGAGCCGTCATGGAGGATTCGTCTGCTAGAAACCGGAAGTGAACAAAGCATCACGTGACGCGTGAGATTACGTAATACGAGAAAAAAGGTGGGCGTTTGACCCCGATTCGGCGTTTAGCCGCAGTCTACCTACTCTACCGGTGGTTACATTTTTTATTTTCTTAAGTAAAAAAATATGTGGTGGTAGTCCAATAATCCAGTCCATATTGCAAAACAAAAGTTTAAGGCCTACTTTCTTATGCGACAGGGTTAAAATAACACTAGCTATAGCCTATCTCAGGCACAAAGAGTAAATTCCGTAAAAATGAAAAATCTCAAGTAAGTCTACCTCAGCTAGAAATCACTATGAACACTGACAGCGCATTTAGCTTTTATTTTTTTCACTAGGATTTTTAATAAAAGCAAATAGGCCTAAGCACGAGTAGGCCTAGGCCTAATTATTGAAAGTTCGGAAACGCATCTTACAGTCAGATAATGACATCTCAGTCTGTTGTTTTATAGCTAGCTACTTAATCTGACCACAGTGTTCTCTAGGAAATTTATAAAAAATATTGTATACTTTAATTTTGCATACTATTTTAGAGACCCCTGATAGGCCTATCAGAGGGTAGGCCTAGGGCTCGATCTTCTATTACGCTATCCGATCACGTGGCCGCGTAGCTTCCCATTTTTGTAGCTCGATATTTATCAGATTTCCCATTTGAAATTCTTATCTGAAAACCATTAGTTAGACACATTTTCGAAGGACATGACATTCTGCATTAATAATGTCGCATCTGTTTTAATTTCTACCCTTTCGAGAGGAGAAGTGTATGTTTTGTGTATGTTCGAAAAATAGGCCTATTGGCGAATAAACCATTAGGCTACGTAATATTGCATCAACCTTGGCCCTTTTACCCTTATCGAAATAGATTTTGGCAAATATTCACAACTTAAGTATCTTGCGTTTCTAAAAATATTTTTAATGTTTGGTTTAGGCAGACAGGATATCATTTTTAAAAAAATTCTCTTAAGTACACTTTTCCCATACATTTCGTGTGCTACAGAAATTTTCTTACTTTTTAACAGTGTCAAAATGGTAATGGCTTGAAAATTGTCGAAGAAGAAATATCAGGTAGATGTCAAGAAAACAAAAGTCACCTCAGGTGCGCATACGAGAGCAAAACCAAACTAACTGCATGTCCAATATCGAAATCCTTCCACACTCCGAAACTGAGGAATATCCGTGAAAGATACAACATTTTCGGTTCCACAAAATAGAATCCCATGCATATTCACTTAAGGTGATAAGCCCTGTGTTATAAACGTCTTAACCTTGCCGTCTCTGCACCTCCCCCCCCCCCCATCCTTGACGCGTCTCATGGCCCTGCGACCACGTGACCTATGTGTAGAGTATATGAACCAGAGAGGGGAAAACGGGAGCCACAGTGTCCAGAAGAAGTAGGAGTACCAGCTGGAACTAAAGATGGGATCCAGCAATGGACTACGTCTGGCCATCTGTGCCATATGCGTATGTGAAATTGTTTTTCTGTAGTTTCTAGAGGAAGCTATGCACCAGTGTATAATGCACAGCTACCGAAAAAATCGAAACATTTTTTGTCAGCGCTGTTTTAAAAGCGTTTGCACCAGAAATGCATGGAAAAAAACTCGTAACAGAAAACTTTTAAAAAAATTTCAAAACGAGAAACTATTAATATATGTAGACTTAAACATTTATCAGTTAATTTTACGTCTATTTGTTTTGTAGATTGCGTCTGCAGCATGCCAAGAAGATGGAGGTAAGATAAACGGCTGTTCTTATTAACCCTTTTACGGTGGTCAAAGTTATTCTTCCTCTTAGCAATGTTATCGACAGTAACCGCTAAGCAACAGTTCCAATTTCAACTTTGAAAAATTGGACCCATTACACTAACTTGTGCAAAAGTTTACACTGGCTGATGCATCCCGACAGTGACCAATTCGCAAAATAACCTTGATCTCAACTTTAAGACCGAAAGTTTAATTTTCTTCAATTCACAATAATTGTTAAGCTACTAATCCATTATGGAGTGTCTATTGGTCTAAGGTATTAACCATATCATTTTTAGCAGACTTAAGGTTTGATCTAAAAGTGTGGGCCAACTTCTTGTCTAAATGATTTTACAATGCCGTTCAAAGTGTCACCGTTAATGGATCTAAAAAACATATTAAACGACTGTGCAATACCACACAATGCAAACAAATGTACAAAAACTTGATTGATATTTTGAACAAATTTAAGAAAATCGCCAAATGTCAAAACACAAGTATTTGTATGGCTCTCTACCCAGCACTAACGGCTAACTGTATTTCGATCTGATAACTTGAAAATTCACCGACAAATATATCCAAGTTTAAAACATACTGGAATACGTGACGAGGCGTATTTCAAAAGCCTTGGAAACCTGCCAGGAAAAGTCCTGGATCCGCCATGTGTGAGATACGTTAATGTACCGTCCTCATATTATGTATGTGTACATTTACCGTCCTAATATTATGTATGTGTACATTTATTCCATCTACCATAAGACGATTAGATGCGTTTATAACGACAGAAAATACAGTAGAGGGAGTGTGATAATTATAGGGTCGATAAACGATTTTTGATGGAATATAGTGACTAGCCTAATCCCCTGGTCGCCTGGGTAGGCACTCCCCCTTAGAGTACTTTTGTATATAATGCCCCTATTTCACACAGACCACGAATCCCACGAATGGCCATGAATTGACAAATTTCACGATTCGTGGTTGAATCGTAATCAGTTCGTGAAGTTCTTAACAGATTCGTATATATTCGTAGTCAGTTCTTGCACTTCTTGACCAACAGGAATGGGTGGCAAAAACTTTGATGCCCCTATTTCACACAGACTGCGAATCCCACGAATCGCCAGGAATTGAAAATTTGGTTGAATCGTAATCAGTTCGTGAAGTTCTTAACAGATTCGTATATAATCGTAGTAAGTTCTTGCAATCCTTGATCAATCGGGAATTCGTGGCAAAAATTTTGAGCTGTTCATAGTTTTGGCCATGAACTCCCGATTCCAAAAAATCGTAGTGAATTTCTGGACAATATTCGTGCGATTCCAGCCGAATCCCACGAATATTCGTAACACTATCGCACCTGTATCGTAACTGAATCATAGAGCGTGTCGAATTAGACCAGAAAATTGGCAAAATCTCACAATTCCAGCCGAATCCCACGAATATTCGTAACACTATCGTACCTGTATCGTAAGTGAATCGTGAGCGTGTCGAATAAGACCAGAAAATTGGCAAAATCTCACGAATCCTAAAATTTGTCAATTCCTGGCGATTCGTGGGATTCGTGGTCTGTGTGAAATAGGGGCCTAAACGGTCTCCCGTTGCGAACTATCCTTTTGTTCAACAGCTTTGCGCGTGCAGCGGATTGTATTTATTGTATTTATAGTGACACTATATAGCTAACTGCACTTGAATCTGTGAAAACTGTTATTTGATTCATTCTGTTGTGTCGGACGTTGTGGACCAGCCCAATAAATTTACTCTGTGACATGAATTAATTGAATTAAACACACCTGTTGAAAAGGGGGCTTTTCGCAACTAATACAAAAAAATTATTATAGTGTTTTTATGACATTTGCTTTACATATTTGATAGTGAAACACTCCTCGGCATTAATGAATTACCTTACGTTAACTATGTCTTCCCATCCCATGCCTCCCGAAAAACTGTTTCTTTTAATTTCGAAATGAATTGTTTTTAAGACAAAGAAGTTCATTAACCCTTTTACGACTCAGTCTAGAGGGACTTCAAGTGGAGGGTTCAGTGACGGTGTTTCCTCACGCCCTAGGTCTAAGCAAGTTGAATAGAAGTTTTTTGTCCAAGCATCCTATCCCAAACTACTGAGTTAGAACAAAGGTCTATTTACACGAGCTATGGTAAGACCCCCTCCTCTTTAACTGATGATTTACACTGTAAATTGACCGTACTCTCATGTATTGTGTGATTACAATGTCATAGCCCCCCCCCTCCCCCCCCCCCCCACCCCGTTGCACGTTAGAGTTGGATTCTCCTTCCGCCTCTGTCAATGCACCTCATTTAATTTAAATATTATAATATAAATAATATAGTATAAGTAATATATTTGCCATGTATTGTTCCTTTTTTGAAAATGCCATTCGCTTTTTTTTCATTATCCTTCATGTTTAATAAATACTTGAATCAGTAAGTTTATAAATAAATTATTCATTTATAAATTAATGCAAGAAGATTTTTTGAGGTTGATGCTGTCGCTCATGCATGTTAATCAAACAAACAATACTTACTTCAATTTTTGATTACGGAAAATTCATATTGAATGAAATGCCTAATAACAAATTTAACCAGCAGTTTGTTAGCAGCACTAAAAAGATAATCAACTGCATGTGCCAAACTAGTGAGCAAAAGGACAGTTCGCTACAGGAGACGGTTTAGTGGCACGCGGTAGCATGGGTTCAGGCCTCTTACAGCTATAATCCTATCGCCACAACAAACAAAGGGACCTTCTGGCTGATGTATCCTGCTGTTAATTACACTTTGTTACAGCGGATTGTTGCGCTCACGGGGTCATGTGATTCACTCGGCTTAGGTATTGTGTGTTATTACGCCTAAACTATTGTGTTTTTGCGTTCGAATTTTGAAGGGATTTAGACGGCTCTCCATTGCTTGTCACCCCCTTCTATTCACAGGATAGGGATTAAAACATTTCAAACGTTTTTTAAAACGTTGTACTACGGAAAAATAATTATTATTACTACTGTAATATCATCTAGCAGACGCTTTAAGTCGGTTAAAACTTAGATCACGGTCTAAAAGGTGGGATAACCCTCAGGTCACGGAACACCAGGCAGCTGTGACGACCTCCACCGTATTATCAATGATACACATAATCCGTTTGGCAAAGTATGTAAGACCCCATTCCCATAGATTTTACATCTATCTATCCCTGTGGGGAGTCTCACTAGATTACTGTCAGCTTAGCAGCTTAAGCGTCTGTCCCGCCTACTAAAAGCTGTAAGGGGGTAATTAACTATGGTGCGCGCTCGGCTGACTGCAATTTAGCGTGAACCCCCAGGGAGTTAGGTCGATCAAAATCTTTGGGAGTGCACCCTAATAGTACCCTATGCTCAGTAACCGTGGCATGTCCATATGAAGGAATATTATGACATATTATTTCAATATAAACGTATAATCAATGCTCGATCACAGATAAGATAAACAAATGAAATAAATTATTGGTTGATAGATAAAACCAACGAAATATACTATATTCTCATTTATTCATATTATCAAACGTTTCGAAGGAATAACATTATACTCTTATTTTCGTGAAAAAATTACTGTAGTTGTTATCATGCTTATAGAAAATAAATAATTGTTTTCATTTCAGAATATTATTATGGACCATATGACGTCAACCCTGAAGAAGGAGGTGTGTAAAAACAAAGTTACTTGTATGTGTATTTGAAATATGATATTACTTAAAAATACAAAGAAATTAATACAAGAGAGAACAGTTATTTTGTCAAAGATACAAGCTTAGAAAAATCTACTGAAAAGTTTTACAATGGATAATGTAATGCTATACGTATTCTTTTATTATTGTTTTCCTTTGCAGATCTTTTCGAGGGTGATATAGTGCTAGAAAAATCTGTAAGTAAAATAAATAATATTTTACACAATTCAACTTTATGAAACTTATTCAGAGAACGTTTTCAAGTCAAATTCGCGATCCAGCAACACACAGGCTTATCGCATCGCCAAGACTCATTTACCGCATCTAACACAGTGTAAGAGAGGTTTGGCCTGGTGAAACGTGACAGAGAGCCCTCCAGGATAGAGATTCCGGTTTCCATTCATTTGTACAGGTAAACCTCGCCATAGATTTTGAACCACTTAGGTCAGGCTAACCCTAACCATTATAAAGAAAGGGAAGGCGGACTTACTGTAACACGGACCCTCAGTTTCGTTACACCGGTCCCTTCCAGTAACCCTGAGTTTCAGAGGCTACTGAAAAGTCACCCTTGTCCAGAGACAAGTTGGGTTCCCAGCAATCTTTGAATCTTAGGGTGCATTCAGCACGTGACTACAATACACATTTGTATATGCATATGTATATATGTACACATAGCCATATAAAACTTTCTCATTTTAGTTGAAGAATGCTGTGATGGGCACCCATCGACTGTGGCCTAACGGAGTGGTACCCTACGAGATAGACCCGGCGGCAAATTATGGTATGTACAGGGTGGTCCATAAAAAAGACCTATTCTAATTTCCATCTCAATTAAATTTTCTTATGCACCACCCTGTACCGGTATGTTTCACAAATGTAATAGATAAACCATCATAAGGTTGCAGAACGCTATGTCAAAATCCTTATACCTAGACATTGTGCAAAGGAATCCATCTTTCTTCATTCAGGCTTTAAAACCGATAAACCCCCTTAAAATAGAAGTAACTGATGTCGATATTTCCTTCTGAAATGCCAGGGAGACATAACGGTCGAAATGAATCATTATTCATTAAATTATATTAAGAATATATTGGCCTCGTATGAAGAAGAAAGTTTTAGTTGCGATTTGGAAAACCCCAAATTAATTTCCTTAATTTCCTTTCGCTAGAGTCTCCTAACAAAGGCTTTTTGCGTTAATGTACGATTCAACTTTTAAAATGTTAAGTGTGTGAGATTTGGCGAGACGAAGCTATTTCCGTTAGTCCTGTGCCTGATATAAAACCCAATCAACTCATGACAAAAACAATTTAACGGACTCGATCAGTTGTAAAAGAAAACCTCTTTTATTTAGTACAGTGTCATTACAGGGGCATTTGAACTGTCCAGGATCCAGAAAGCTATAGACGACTACAATAGATTTACGTGCATACGGTGGATTAACAGAACTACTGAGAAATCTTACGTACAGTTTATCAGAGGAACTGGGTAAGAATAACGCTGGGCAAAACGCTTAACTACCCGTTGGATAGTCATACAACTTGAAAACTTAGCAAAGATTTGGGTTTTGTTTTCTTTAGAAAAATGCATTGTGATTGCCAGTATTTGAAAGATAACAAATTTAACCATCAAGCAAAACGTAAGACCTCACTGCCTTAATGAGGACAGGCACTAGGATCTCTTTAAATTTTAATTTCATCCTTTTCCAGATGTTCCTCCTCTGTGGGTCGTTCTTCAGCCTCGCGATCTCAAAGGATATCCCTTAGCCGTAGCTGCTTCAGCCATGGTGCCATTGTCCACGAAATGATGCACGCTCTTGGCTTCTACCACGAACAGTCCAGGGCCGATAGAGATGATTACGTGACGATCATGTATGCAAATATTGAACCAGGTATGTTCATTCGGCCAAGTTCGTGAGACTTCGTAAATCACGAATCTCGCACGGGATCAGTCGAGCTGTTCCATTTTTCAGTTTTGGTTAGAAATGGAATGTCCCCTGACGTTTGAAGTCAGTGCATACTCAACTCAATGTAGCACATATACTGCTTGTATCTTCGTTCATCTACGTTTTATCTTTTCAGAAGAAGAAGAACAACACTCATTTGGTCAATAATTTACAAACGTTAACGGAACATTAATTCTTTTTCACGTGGAAACAAACCAATCAGCAAGCTAGTCCGTAAATTGTCCTTTACCCCGTATCATCTTAAAGATTCATACCAATTAAGTATTCGATATTTGTTATTCTCAAAGGCAAGGAAAACAACTTCAAAAAGTACTCGCCCAGCCAAGTGCAGACCTTGGGTGCCCCGTATGACTACGGGTCTTTGATGCACTACGGAAAATACAGCTTTTCAAAGAACGCCAAGGCAACCATCGTTCCCAAGGACCCCAAGGCATGGATTGGGCAGAGAAGCGGCCTCTCCACAATAGACAAGTACAAGATAAACAAGTTGTACAACTGTACTGGTTTCACAGGTTTGACGAGTTTTGAGATTTATTTGGATATTGTCTTTATCCTCCCCTTTTTAAATGTATACTGAGGGGTATGATTCTCTCTTGGCTAAAATGAGTTGTAAACCTACACATTATCATCAAATCTGCACATACGTAGACGGCATTCTAAAATTAGGCATTGGCTGTGAATTTTTTAACTTTCACAAACTTTTGGTTGCTACCGGTATGATTATGCTTTGTAGGGACTTTGCCCCCATTGACAACACCAATGACCACTACAACGACAGCGCGTAAGTTTTGATCAGATAGCTAAGTGCCTCAAGTTTTCGGTATAGAATATCTGATTAATTTTGTTAGAAAAAATGTGCCTGCATCATGTTGCATTTTTTTGACTGTGAAACATAAATGAGATAGATAAGACTTAAGTTCTCATTAAAACATTATGGATGCATATGGATGCACCAAAACATTAAAATACCAAAGAAATTTGCTAATCCCAATCCATTACAAGTTCCAGTTTTAAGCTAATCCGACTTTTCAAAACCTCCCCAGTTCCTCCAAACAGAATCTTTAAGGGCCCTTTTTCCTGTAACTTTGACAAGGACACGTGTTCCTTCACGCAGGACGTCAACGACGATCAGGACTGGACCCGATTTACGGGAAAAGCTCCTAGCGCGGGTGTAACGGGACCCACTGCAGACCACACCAACGGGACAGGTATTTATTTATTTATTTATTTATCTGTTTACAGGACAAATTAAAAATGTATTTGTCAGACCGAGTGTGGAAGCATGGTAAATTTTCATTATTTTTTTATCATTGACCATAGTTTGGGCGTGAGAGCATCACAGGTGTTGCATGATATTTATTCATGCTTCATGACCTTTTTGCACGTGGCGACAGATGTGTTGTAAGGTTATCAATGGAATAGCTATTAAAGGTACAGTAGGCGACTTTGGCGCCATATATTGTACTTCATGCCAAATGTAAAGAACAACTTTTCGATGTATTCAAAGAATAAATATCAAAACGTATACTTACATGGATATTTCCTGAGTTGATTCTTGAATTTCATTCATTCAATGTACATCTACATGTTTGGCACTACGCAACCAACAATACATTCATTTCGTTTTGTTCCTTATTCCAATAGGTCATTACATGTATTACGAAGCTTCGAGACACGGCGTCGGCGACGTGGCTTCGCTTCGTTCCCCTGGGATCGATCTCCCCGGGACCGTGTGTCTCGAGTTTTGGTACTATATGTTCGGTCATACCCTTGGCCAGCTTGATGTGTACACTGCTGTCAACGGCAATGAGACGAACATCTTTGTTGCCAAGGGCAGCAAAGGGAATCGGTGGCTCCTCGCTCAGGAACAGCTCAATTTCACTGATGTTACTCAGGTATTTGGAATTTCTGTCATGTTTTTTGTTCTTTTGATTTGACATGTTTGAAATGATATCCTTGCAAAAGAAATAGGTTTGAACGCTTTTCGTTACGGTGGTTGGATGAAAAATGTTAAAGTGTAAAATGACAAGCGTATATAATAAAAAGCTAATTGTTCTAAACTTTAAGGAACAAATCTTACACTGGACACCTTTAAGATCATAGTTTTCTGGCATTACCCATTTTAAGATTATTCAGTCCAATAATTTAAAGGTTATTTTCCCTAGTTTTAAAGGTAGCTATATTGAGAATAGTTTATCAAAATAAAAAAGGCTGGTCCACATTCTTTCAGCTCGTCTTTAAAGCAACCAGAGGCAACGGAGACTTCAGCGACATTGCTATTGATGACATATCAGTACAGGCTGGAAAATGCATAACTCCAACTGGTAAACTACTTTCATAACTGGGGCGGTGTTTCTATTAGTTTATTGACTAAATAAGTACGTAAAAGATGATTGAGTTGACTGATTCATTTTTATACTGTCTATGTTGTCAGAGGCACCGTCCTAAATTTGAAAGATTTCAACTGAGCCGACCACTGTCAAGCCTAATATTCAACCTCCAAGTGCCTTTTTTTCTGGGGGAAGGGGGGGGGCATATTACTGTTTTTTACCTATCGATACAGTAGATAAAACAGAGCAGTTTTCGTTTTTATAAGGCACCAGACTATTTTACACCGTGTTGTTTCCGTTCAAAATAGGCCCTATCATCTGTTTAATATACAATGAATTTGTATTTGAGTCCATAAAGATGAACCCCTTCATGCAATATTTATTAACTAAATTAACCACGAGAGAGAGAGAGAGAAAGAGGAGAGGCTAATTTCGTTCATTCTACTCACAGTTATGGCCATCAACGGCCCCTTCCACTGTGACTTCGAGAGAGACTGTGGTTTCACTCAGAGCAGCGAAGATGACTTTGATTGGTCCAGGCATAGAGGGAAGACCGCTTCAGCCAATACCGGACCCAATGGCGATCACGCTAACGGAAAAGGTATGGCATCGCCGGAAGTTAAATGAAAAGCTTGTTTATAAAATTGAATCTCCATCCCACCCCGAAACGTTATTGAATACCACTGTATAATCACTATAATAACGGTAGTTTATTTATTTCAACAAAGAACGTGTGAAATAACAGAATTGTTACCTATGTTGAAGTCTTGTCGCGCCATCTACAGGAGATAATTGCAGTACGCAGTAGACGCACACGCTGTTAGGCACGTGACCTTTAACAAGCACACCCTAATGCTAATTGTGTGTGAATTTGGTGACATATTTGATGGCGTCTTTTCAATTTTATAGACATTTCTTTACATCTGTAGAAGTCACAGTGAAACAGTCGATTTGAGGGGGTACCTCTTATAAATTTTACTAAATGGTATAAAATATGTATATTTTTACCACTATTTTGTATTTTTTTAAACCATTAATCACGTTAGACACTGTATCCGTAATAAAAAGCACTATTTCTAACAATTTACGGCTGTAAGGTTATCATTTGTAAATAAAAGTACATGGAAATGGGGGTGGGACAACCTTTTTGACCAATGCTGTATATATATATATATATATATATATATATATATATATATATATATATATAATAGAACACTTGACATAATAAGTTTTCGCATTTCACCTGAACACATCCCCAAATCAGAATAAAGCGTATGTATTGCAACGCTCAGATAACATCCCTAGGTATGTATTTAATATATATAACAGAACACTTGACATAATAAGTTTTCGCATTTCACCTGAACACATCCCCAAATCAGAATAAAGCGTATGTATTGCAACGCTCAGATAACATCCCTAGGTATGTATTTAATATTTAAAAATAGTAGAAACTGTTGTTGCTCCAGGTTATTACATGTACACGGAGGTGTCTGGTAGTTTAAAGGCTGGAAACAGGGCATCCATGGCCACCCCTCCTATCAACCTCAGTGGCAAAGTGTGCATTAGCTTTAGGTACCACATGTACGGTAACTCTGTGGGAGAACTCAATGTCTACACCAGCCGAAATAACAGCAGCAAGACGCGTGTCTTTGCCTTTTCAAAGAACCAAGGGAACGTTTGGAAGTATGCTCAAACTGCTTATCAATTCACCGCCCCCACTCAGGTATGGAGTGTGAACTATTTGTGTATTTGCATATTTTACAAAAAAAATTATTATAGTAATAGAAAAAAATAAAATAACCAGCCCCTCTCTTAAAAGACAAAGGATATGCAGGACCCTTCAAAATTTCATTATTTTCTCTTTTTTTCTGTCGTAACGTTCAAGCATTTTGAACTGAATTAACACGTATTCATCTGAAAAACAGTCATAAATCATTTGTATGTATCTGTCTGTTTATTATTATAAAAAATCTGTTGTTTAACTTAATGCTCAAAAATTATTATATAAATACCAATACACACATTTTCAGGTAATATTTGAGGGAGTCCGAGGTGCTAATTACGATGGAGATATCGCAATTGATGATATACACGTGGTCCCTGGAGACTGCCCAGGTAAATATTATTTGGCTCGATACGTAAGCACACAATGTAGTTTTTCTGGATAATTAACTACTCATCAACCTATGGTTTGCATTTAGGCTATATTGTGTTTTAAAGTTTTAAAAGGGAATCAATAAGGACTGGGAGCATATACAAAGCAGTAGACCTTTTGTAAGTAGATGACTAGATGTTGCTCTCCAGTAAAAGGTCTCCAGAAGTCAACAACTGGTCATCTTGCAGCCAAATGCCTATTATACAGTACTCGTATAATAGGTCGAGATGGAGGCCAAATGAAGTGCCGCAAGCCTGGATTGAACCAGCGACCTTTAGATTCCTGAAATACACTTTCCCTTCATTCTGACGCTCTCCCAACTAAGCTATCGCAGCCTATGACAGCATTTAATTTCTTTTTCTTGTCAGCTCCTCCTTCTACGTCTGCCCCAACAACGACCAGACCCACTACCAGACCCACCTCGGCTACAGGTAGTATCAATTTTGGAAAGCTCTGTACTTTGTACTTGTTAGTGGTGAATGTTGATTGGAAATCATTAGACCTTTATTTGCGACCTTTAGATTCCTGAAATACACTTTCCCTTCATTCTGACGCTCTCCCAACTAAGCTATCGCAGCCTATGACAGCATTTAATTTCTTTTTCTTGTCAGCTCCTCCTTCTACGTCTGCCCCAACAACGACCAGACCCACTACCAGACCCACCTCGGCTACAGGTAGTATCAATTTTGGAAAGCTCTGTACTTTGTACTTGTTAGTGGTGAATGTTGATTGGAAATCATTAGACCTTTATTTGCGACCTTTAGATTCCTGAAATACACTTTCCCTTCAGTCTGACGCTCTCCCAACTAAGCTATCACAGCCTATGACAGCATTTAATTTCTTTTTCTTGTCAGCTCCTCCTTCTACGTCTGCCCCAACAACGACCAGACCCACTACCAGACCCACCTCGGCTACAGGTAGTATCAATTTTGGAAAGCTCTGTACTCTGTACTTGTTAGTTGTGAATGTTGATTGGAAATCAGTAGACCTTTATTTGTAACAACATGTTTTTTTATTTCCAAATATTTCACAGATTTTTAGATCGATCCAGAGATTTAGATTTAGATCGACCTAACTCCCTGGGGGTTCACGCTAAATTGCCGTCAGCTGAGTGCACACCATAGTTAATTACCCCCTTACAACTTTTAGTAGGCGGGACAGACGCTTGCCGGCTAAGCTGCCAGTAATCTAGTGAGACTCCCCACAGGGATAAATCGATTTAAAATCTATGGGAATGGGGTTTGAAAGATCATTGCTCTTGTTAAGTTAATTTACGTTAACCCTTAAGAATTTCACCATATCCTATCACTTATGATAAACAATTTATTGGTCCCAAAATTTTCAGTAAAACCTGCAGTAATAAGTGGTAAGTTTGTCTGCAATTTCGACAAGGACAATTGTGGATTCATTCAGAAAAAAACGGATAACTTTGACTGATAACTGGCGTTCGTGGTCTACCACACTGGTGGTATTGCAATAGATGATGTCAGTGTAATGCCAGGGGTCTGCCAGACGGGTGAGCCCATATACAACCAAATAAGAATCTTGTTTCAAAAGTCAGCAGAAAGGCGCTGAAATTATTAATCAGATTTATATCTAGACGTCTTAAAAGCATATATCAAAAAGAACAAGTACTGCACGTACAGGAATTCAAAATTTGGTTTTATCTCTAGACTTGTGTGTATTCTTTTTTTTATGTTATTCCTTTGCTCATCTTCGCTGTTTTGGACTTTGTTTAATATTCGCAGCTGCTACGACTACACGACCCGCCGTGACGACCCAAAAGGCAGTTGTCAGCACCGGTGAGTTTAAAAGATAAGGCACCTTTTATATTCAAAAATATTTTGCGTCTTTGCGTTGTAATACACCGATAGTTTCATTGCGATCAAAGCTACTCGGTCCAGATGTCTGTTACAGTTCTGACACCTTATTCTGTCCAAAATTTTGAGGTCATGGTATAAAGTGACAGCGAAACTCATATTAATTCGGTTGCAATTGATCTCTGGGAATACATACCTCAAAAATATTATTTCAATAAAAAAATCCGACGAATGACAAACATTTGCCATTTATCAAGTCTTCTTATTCTGGCGACGATACGATAAAATAAAATAATTAATTCAAATAAAATAATTCAAATGCAGTTCTTTTATGGTATAGGAACGATATTTCACACTGTCGCTATTTTGGCTCCTTCTTCAGTACGGCCCACCATTCTTACGGCACCTTTCACGTGTAACTTTGACAAAAATGTCTGCGGCTTCACACAGAGCTCCTCTGACCAGTTTGACTGGACAAGACACCAAGGAAACACCTCATCCCCAAAAACTGGACCTTCCAAAGACCACACCACCGGATCTGGTAATGAATAATTAATTAATAATTTGATGAAAAATTAATAATGTGAATAAATTGGTGTTCCATAAGTCGTACTGACGACAAAAGTCCAATTAGAAGTTTTTAATATTGTTTCTCAAGCCTTTTAATTAAAATTAATTAAAATGTTTACCTCATTCAAAATACCGAAAAGGCTAACTGCTCTTTGTTCCAGTTATCAGTATGTATATACATTTAATTTCTATATTGCCGAAGGAATTTTTAATGAAATATCCAAATAACATTTTGTATTTCCTTGTATAATAAATAATATTTTTATTCAGAATTTAAAATCCATAAAAATATGTTCTGTAGACTTTACAATATTACATAAAGTTAAAAGGATTATTTTAAATTTTAAAGTAACGGCATTAAAAGTAAAGAGAAAAAAATGAGTTTTTAATTGTTATTAAATACATCGACTTAGGCTAATGTAAGGGCGCATTCTCAACGAATTGAGCCAGGCTTTACAAATCCTGAGAACTAAAAATGGCGGACGTACATGAAAGAAAAACCGCCTAATCTTTTAATAGTCTCTCCGCCTCTCACACGCCTCCCCACACGTCGTCCCTGCGGGGTACAGTAATTAAATCTCGGCTCCGAACATGAATATCTCCGTGAATATCTCTGGTGATATTATCTCCGTAGATGGTCTATTCATTGCTGCTCTACGGGCCAATTCATTCCTTTTTCGTCTCTGTTTTGAAAGATAATAGAACAGAAGAGCTTTTTTCCCTTCGATCGCCTTCAGCCGCCATGCTTTCTTCACCACGAGTTTAACTGATGAGCATGCGCACTTATTATTTCTCAGGTAGCTTCCACATGGCGAACGAAGTCGAGATTAATATAACTGTACCCTGTAGGGACGACGTGTGGGGAGGCGTGTGAGAAGCGGAGAGACTATTAAAAGATTAGGCGGTTTTTCTTTCATGTACGTCCGCCATTTTTAGTTCTCAGGATTTGTAAAGCCTGGCTCAATTCGTTGAGAATGCGCCCCTAGTCTATTCCTTGTTGTATTTGAGCAGATATTCTTATCTATTTAGTACAGTTTCAAGAAAAAATCATTTCTTTTTTTCCCAAGGTTATTACATGTACATTGAGGCTTCCTCTCCACAACGCCCTAATCACACAGCGATCATTCACTCGCCAACAATTAATATCAAAGGCAAATCCTGTATTAGCTACTGGTTCCACATGTACGGGGGATCCATGGGGAGATTGACAGTCTCTGTGTTGATAGGTAGCAAGCGAAATGTGCTCTTCACAACAACCGGGGACAAGGGAAATATGTGGATCCCAAAAAGACATACGTGGGCCTTTGATGTGCCGGCTAAGGTAAAGATTATAACTTATGTGCTTGGGTTTTAGCAATATTTTTTATAAAATCTCATGCTTAAGGCCGGTAATAGGGTTAACTACGCTTAAAATCATGTTTTAGAGTTTTTTTGTGTGTTTCTTTTAATCAAGGAAGTATCTAACGTTGGATGTAATAATTTTTTTGAATTTGCACCGCAAAATGTGTCTTTTGATGAGTATTTCAACCGACACGCGCCCCAGAGAGGCTGACAACTAAGATACGCCTCTGTTGCTAAGGGCCGTTACCATGAGGGGGCGGAGTATAGTTAATGAGTTATAAGCCGATTACGTGTGCGGTAATAGGTCATAATAAGTCTTACATCACCTAAGCAGTGAAGAAGTCGAGTACGCCTTGAGAAAGAGAAAAGTTCGTATTAAAAGTCCATTTTCAGAGGAAAGAAAGAAAATTTTGAAAGAGAGTACACACGGCGGTTGAGGAAAACCAGCATTTGTTCAGTCGGATGGTACGTGGTACCTCAACACATCAGACTTATTCATAAAATAATAACTTCATGTAGGCCTAAAGTACGATGAGTGATCTGGTATTAGTCGCAATCCACAGAAAAATGCCGACGCAACCTTTACATGTTTCAAAAGATATGAATAGATACTTTTTTTACAATCAACGCGTTCGTGGTTTGAAAATTCATTCACACTCTGTCATTTTATTCAAAAGCCTTCTCTCAGCCACTTTTACCGCTGATTCTTGTGCAGCTGAGCGTCTCCCCTTTATCTTAGCTGGCATTTCGAGAGATACCGCTCTGAAGTAATCGCTGGATTTTTCTGTTATCTGACAATTGCCAAGTGCCGTGCAAAATAATCCTGCAGCGTTACCCGTCAAAAACTCGTATTAACACAAGTGACGGCCACTTGCTCTCGACCGGCAGTTTCATCTGATCACTTTGCCGATAACAGAGAAGGAATCTCCCGGTTAAAATTACTCGATTGCCGAGGAAGACCCATTGAAACGTTCAAATGCAACTTCACACTTCTTAATTGCGGTTAAACGTAATCGACTTTGTTAGCGCTTCCTTCTACATATCCTTGACTCCCTAATGGGCATCACTAGGCTAGGGCCCTTTCCAGAGCTGTCAATCAAAATGGCGGCACGCTTACAAGCCTAACGAGTGGTCGGAAAATGTAACAAAAGCACGATTTTCTGCCCTTTCATAGCACCCAAACAAAATATTTTTAGATGACAATGAGCAATGGTTCCATCTGATCGTATAACCGATAACAGGTAAATTTGCCAGCTAATAAGCATTTGACTAATAGGCTCTGTTAACCAACCTGTGAACGTTTTTGGCTGTTTTAACAGCTTTCTATATTGACGAGATAAGTGAATCGCTGTCAAGTATATCTCACTATCTGAGGAACTTATCGTTACAAAAGTTGCACCTATTGTTGTTGGGAATGTGGACTACAGCATGATATCAGTACCCTAGGTTCTAGATTCCGGTATTGCCAGCTCGATCTTGATTTCATATATAACCCATAGTAGCAATACTAGTAAAAGCGACTCCACCACAAGGTATATTTAGCAAGCTAGCTTTAACGTTGCTCTGACACTCAGGGTAGATATCAGTGGTTTAAGAGGAAATTGTTTGTTTGAAAGTTATCGTCTCTTGAAGTGAATAACCCATTGAAATATGGGGTAATTTAACGTAAAAGATTATAAAATCAAAAGTAAATAGATTAAGACAATTCTCTGGTACCCCATTGAAGTGCTTTCACTCAGCTTTATGAGGCCGTTTGAATCACTTGACTAGCTGTCTTAGTTATAGAGAAAATCCCAATTCCAAAAAACGGCATTTTCCCCAAAAAATCGGCGCTATAGCGTCATCCGTTGGACACTGTACTTAATCTTCGTCTTTAATTAGCCTTTTAGGAAGTATGTTTTGATTTTTTATATAAACGTATACATTGAAGTGCTTTCACCCAGCTTTATGAGGCCCTTTGAATCACTTGACTAGCTGTCTTAGTTATAGAGAAAATCCCAATTCCGAAAACGGCATTTTCCCCAAAAAATTGGCGCTATAGCGTCATCCGTTGGACACTGTTGTATTTGCACTGCCCTCTTCATGTTTTACATATTTTAAAATTTCTAGATTTCAGGGTTATATTCATACAAAAAAATTTAAAAAATAGATTAAAAATAGAAAAAAATAAGCAATTAAACGTCATCATCAATATGATTATAAATGTTAGAACTATTTTATCTATTTAGACAGAGTTTCAAGCTATGTATGGTCTTAACTATGTTATATATTTATCAATCGTATATTACTATTATGGTTTAAATAATGAAGCAGTTGCTGCATGCTTTTCACACAGGCTGCTATATATGTGTGTGTGTGTGTGTGTGTGTGTGTGTGTGTGTGTTCTTGGACATAAAGTTATTATGTCCAAAATGTGTTACAGGTTTTAAAATTCCTAGATTTCAGGGTTATGTTCAAAATATAAATAAATAGATAAATGAATCGTTATAGTCAATATGGATATAAATGTTACTTTATAACTTTTTTTTCGATTTAGATAGAGTTTCAAGCTATTTGTGGTCCTTACTATGCTTCTGACATCGCAATTGATGACGTCAGCGTCACCAGTGGACCGTGCCCGGTAATAGGTAGGTAAATTAGCATAATATTTATTTGAAATTTTCATTCAAAATCTATATAATTCCTAAAACTAAACGTTTTACCAAACTTTGGCATGGTATTCAATTAATAATAAAAAGTTTCTGAAATTTAATAATTTTCCCATGAAATCACCACTACAATACCTTTACCCGTGCCTTGTCTCTCCGCGTATTTTTAGATAACTGAATCTTTTCTTTTACATTGCGTGGTGCTTTTCTCTACAATAACTCATAGCTTAATATATATATATATATTCACGTCTTCATTTTCTCTTCCTAAAACAGCGGTGACAACTGTGAGACCTCCCCAAACAACGAAAGGTAGGCCGAAAACCTCCATTGCACAAAACGGCACAAAAATTCACTATTTGTTCACTAACTTGAATGTCACCTGCTATTAAATGCTTTTGATACTAATATTGGGTGCGTCTCAAAGGTTCGTTGGTCCGAAAATCGTTACGTTTTCTCATTCTTTTTTAATAAAAAGGTTCGTTGGTCCGAGTTTTATAGTGAACATTCGAACCAATGAAACTTCGGACTGTTGAATCTATGGACTGTTGTCGCGCTTCCCTAATATTAGCGCTCAGCTCTGCTTTGAATCACAAATATTCCGTGTTCTTTCTCGCCGTTTCAGCTCCAGTGGTACTAAGCGGCGCTTTCAACTGTAACTTCGACAAAGACACCTGTGGCTTCACCCAGGATAAGAGTGATACCTTTGACTGGACAAGACAGAACAGGACCACCAGTTCTGCAAACACTGGCCCAATGACTGACCATACGACTAAAGCTGATGGTGAGTTTGTCCGGTGTGACAAAAGTGGTGCATGTAGTCCGCTATGAACCGTAGTCTGTTCCCCATAAATTACCCAAATATTCTTTCTTTGTGCCAGTTTATGGATTGTTCTTATTATTGTAGGCAATTCGTTCTTTTAGGTCACTACATGTACATTGAAACATCTAACCCAAGACAACCCAATGATGCTGCCAGACTGATCAGCCCTGTTTTGACCATGCAAGGCCAAGTGTGTATCAATTACTGGTATCACATGTATGGGTTCGCGGTCGGTGCCTTTAATGTTTTCATCCTGTCAGGCGGCAAAAAGACCGCTCTTCTCAACCTGAGAGGAAATATGGGTAATCAGTGGCGACAGGGACAGAGTAACTGGGTCTTTACTGCTCCAACACAGGTACAGAGGTTTCTGCTTATTTACTCACATAACTTATTCGTCTTTTCCTTTTTAACTAATGCTTCACAGTCACGTTACCTAAGCTAAAGTACTGTAGATGTGCCATGGTATGTTCCATTATGCTATGTTATTGTAGCAGTGTCTGATTCTTATATACCTTGGTTAAACTTGATCTGTCTGGTACCCTCTCTCAGAAGGAGGCTGACTTCCTGTGTTTGGGACAGCACAACACAGCACAACAAACACACTCATACAACATCACAGACAAAATACACTGAACACTAACAGCACTACCACATTATCATGGTTCCGTTACGCCATCTTATTTTCAAAACTTCTGCACCGTTACTTTACATTATGTTATGATATGTTATGTTACTTTACTTTACGTTAGGTTATATGTTATGTTATGTTTCAGTTGGTGTTTGAAGCCATTCGTGGCAGCAGTTACACTGGTGACATTGCCATTGATGACATCTCCGTGAACCCCGGACCTTGTCCTACCGTTGGTGAGAAATCTTGCTTTACCACTGCCTTATTTTGAAGCGAATTAAATGAAGATGAGACGAATGAAAACACAGAATATTGCGTATTTACAAAAATGTATTAACCTTCATGCAATGAAAGGTCGCATGATGAAAACCTTCAATGTAATTTCAAGTTATGAGACACACGTAGGCCTACTTACGTGTATAATCTTAAAACGCTTTTTTGTACAATTTCAGCACCAACAACTACCATGAAACCAAGAGCAGTAGGTAGGCAGACCTTTATAATATTAAAGGTCAAAGTAAATAGTTTTCATTGCAAAACGTATTCATCTGCTTTAGTTTTTACTTAAATCAATTTTTACTCATGCAAGTGCATAGCACGTCTAAAATTTGAGAAAAAGAAAAATAGGGAAACGATCGAATAAAAGCGAACAGGAAAGAAAACAATGATAATAAAATAAAATGAAGTATAATGTATTTTTATCCGTTTAGTCCTTAACTGCGATTTCTCTAAAGACCTTTGTGGATTTGTACAAAGTACGGCAGACAACTTGGACTGGTTGAGACGCTCCGGATCAACGCCCTCCTCTGGGACTGGACCAACTGCAGACCATACAACGGGATCAGGTATGCCTAGAGCTTTTCTGACCTTTTTTTCGTCTACAATTTCTCCTAGTTATTTATTTTGTAAGGAGAATTTTATACCGGCAAACACAATTTCCCTACTCACCACTAAAAAAGAAATCTGCTAATATAGGATGCCGTTGGCGTTTGTTCTTAATTGGACACCGTATAATTATAATATATCGAGGTGAGTTTAAGGTCTTTTTTTTTTGCTCCAGGCAATTATTTGTTCATTGAGGCGACGGGAAAAGCAACAAACGACAGCGCTTTGATCACATCACCCAACCTGAACGTCACAGGAACCATTTGCGTCAGTTTTTGGTACCACATGTACGGGGTTGAAATGGGCTACCTTAAGGTGTACCGCGACACAGGTGTCGTGCGTTCTCCAATCATGGTACTCAGTGGGAACAAGGGAAATAAGTGGCTTCAGGCAACAATCACTTTGACCAATGTGCAACCTGCCTACAAAGTAAGTTCTATAATTAAATTATTTAATTTACTGAAGGCAATACGTATAAGGGACGATTGGCTAATTATACAACAGAAGAAGCTATAGTATGACTTTCAAACAAGTTTGCCATGTTTATGACAGTTAAGACATTTTTTTTTATTGCAAAAATTGGCATTTGCGTTAATGAATTACAGTTGTCGGAACTTCAAAAAGTTTGAGCAGGTAATTGAAAAGAGTCTGAAAAATGTGATAAACATGTATTTGCAAAAAATGCTTTTCAGGACCTTCTTACAGATATATTAAGTTTACTTATGTCATTTTTCTTATTGATAATTACTGTCTTCATTTCTCTAAAAGGTAGCCTTCCAAGCTATAAGAGGAAGGAACTACAGGAGCGACGTGGCCATTGATGATATATCAATTACTGAGGGGACTTGCAGCGAAGGCGGAGCGCTAATTGGCTAAAAACAGAACGTAACTTGTCAATAATAGCGCATGATATCTATGGCACTTTAAATTTGGGTTAAAATGAATATAAGTTATCAAATTTATTATAACGTATGAAAATAAAGACCTTAATAACCACAGTGAGCTGTTGGCCATTTTAGATATATGATATCACTTTGTAAGATTTTTCCCCATGGTGTTTATTTAAATAACGTTTGTCTTTGATGGACGAGAATAGTGACGCGTTTTAAAAGATTTATAGAACAAAAATGTCGAATCGTATTCAGAGCGAAAATGTTACCTGTAAAAGAGCCTCTGTCTTCAAGGAGTTCGGTAAATAAAAAAATTGGACGAAGATTAATGGCAAGAAATGATTTTGTATGTTAAGAAAACAATTAGGAATGTATTTATTTCTATACTAATTTTATGACATATTCATATTAAAATTAATATGATTATAATATGGCACACAGCAAATGATTTAAATACGGCTTTTGAGCTGCAACAGTCAATGTAATGAAAGGATTACAGATTATATAGAATGTCTTTGTACAATATGTTTTACATTGTCCTTATACAATATGCTATTGTGATTCATGACATACTAGTGATCTGCTGAAAAGAACAACGCCAATACAAATCTCGGAATATCCGACAGTCATTTCACGGGCCCATGTAGGTATCTTCAAATTCTACAACAATCTCTCTAAAGCCCCGGAGATCGATAATTATTCTTGGCATTTACACTGGGTGTAGATCACGTGATAAACCTTCGAGGTTTTCCTCCATGTGCTGGATTTTGTAGGGAAGCTTCAGTGACTTGTAAATATGCACGCTGTTTTCGTGATCTTTTAACGTTTTCTCTCATTATATCAGTGACGTTTCTCTGTACCTCCACAACGTGTATCTCCATTTCATCTTCGGCCTTTTCAGCGGCGATGAATAATAACACGATCAACAACAAATACCAGGCAATATTAAATGCGTTTTTAAAAGAAAAAACCAGCTCGTTCAGAGTCCTTCCATTGCGCAAAGACGCCATATGTAATGTAAATACGAACCAGTAAGTGTGAGATATCCTGAATAAGGACTTGATTTGGGTAGTAGCAGGCACTTTAGTCTAGCTAATTGGTGCAAAAATTGCTCAGAAGGTGGAAAAATAATGAAAATTGGCACAATCGTATTTGGACTATGCTGATCATTTTCAAGGGGAGTGCCCAAAATTTCAAAGCGTTGCTTAGTAACCGTTGCTAAGAAAGTGATTTACCTTAGTAACAAGCTAATTGCATCTTTCTTGTCCAGTTTAATGATTTAGAAAGGCTTTTAATAATGTCTCAAGCCATCAGAACTAACACTATACTATTTTAAGCCATTAAAAGCCCAAATAAGCCATTGCAACAGTTGCTAAACAGTATATTACCCTAGCAACAATTATTTCAAAATAGTTATTTTCTGTACACATATTAAGAACATATACAAATATATCTGTAGTATTTGACATATACTCCCAGTTCCTTCCCATCTTTTTGTTCACATTCTACATATACTAACATATTTCTTTATTATTAAGATAGGTACATAAATATGATAAAAACAAAGAAATGGCTGGTTACTAACTTTGAACATGCTGCCTTAGATATCTGCAATGTTTTTGATCGGATGTGTGTAAACTTCACACAATTGTTTCAACTTACTGGATGAAAAGTATGAATATCTTGCTCAAAGGTGGAGTTCCTAGCCAGTTATATAAGTTTGCCTGTATTTAATAGACTAACACAACTTTAAATAGTTGTTGCTAGGGTAGGGCCTAATATGCTGCCTAGCAACTGTAGCTATTACTGTTATTTTGGGGGTTCGTGGCCTAAAAAAAGTCCAGTAATAATTTTGATTCCCTGAAACCTTGTTATTAGCATTTGTAAATCTTTTAAACTGGACAAGAAAGGTCTAATTAGCTTGTTACTAAGGTAATTCACTTCCATAGCAACGTTTACTGAGCAACGCTTTGAAATTTTGGGCACTCCCCTTGAAAATGTTCAGCATAGTCCAAAGAACATTTGTGCCAAGTTTCATGCTTTTTCCACAATCTGAGCAATTTGGCCAATATATAGCACCAGTCATCCAGACTACTGTACGTTCGGCTCTTCTCCGCTTTGAGCTTTTTTTTTTTTTTTTTTTTT